CTACCGTGCCAGGAAAAATTGTTTTATAAGGTAATGAGAATTATTCAATTAATTAATCTAATTTAGAATTGTTCTTCCTTTCTGTCAGCATGAAATCAATTCAGGGAAAAACAAAAAAATATAGATAATGAGGAAAGTGGATATATAATTGATTTTTCAGTATCATTGTATCTCGGACTTCCCCAATTTGCTTCCCTCCAGATTTATTGTAACTACAGCTCTCAGAATTCCCTAATAAGCATAATTATCCTGGATAGGAATTCTGGAGAAGGCTAATGAAAACTAATGGGATAAGTACTGTAGGTTGGGAGAGAGCTCTAAATCAGCAAGGGTCCTAAGATGTTGACTCTTGCTTTACTAATCCAGAAGTTTTTTTAACTTTCAAGTCAGTATCATCAACAACTGTGAACTTTTAATGTGTGAGGAATGTGCAACAGAATTATTATATAATATTGGAAGAATAAATCCATACCTGATACGCAGCAATGGATTGTTGAAAGAGGTTGACAAACATCAACAAAAGTACAAAGAAGAGGACTTTTGATCAATCAGTTTTTGAAGTTGTGTTGATTTTTTTTAATTGTAGAAAAGAACAACACATGGTTAACACAACCTTATGTGTAGTTTTTTCTGTCAGTTAACTTGATATATGAAAATGATTCTTAAAATGTTTCAAGTCAATATCATCTGCATTTGGCTTGACACCTTCTCAGGGTTTAGCCAAATCTTGGTTGTAAATAAACCAATTTAATTTAAAGGCAGAAGGCTGGAAGAACTCTGTGCAACAAAGATAGAGCACAGAGAATTTAATTCTCTTGCATTTAGTTAGCAATTAGCCAATAAACCTCCATTAATAATATGCTCAATTATAAATTAGTAGTAAGGCTGGTGAAAATTAAGCTCTCCTAAATGTAGTCTGTCAATGAGGCCCTTGTAAACAATTCACCAGAAAAGACATCTCATGAAATCTATCATAGTACAGTAATTGCTTAATGGATCCATTTGGAGTTTTTTTTAAAAAAAAAATCGTTATCTAAGCTGGTCTCTTGGACTTCTTGATCTTATATTATAAGGAATGAAGCTGATGAGACAGGTATTGGTTGTCCCCTGACCAGAGAGAACTGTAATTTTAGCATAGATTAGATGTCTCTCAATCTTAATCACACAACCAAATTATCTACTGACTTGAAAAGGCAGGAGGAAAATGTTGTGTCAGACTTCTGGAAACAGTTAATCCAAGGAATGAGAATTGAAGTGTTCTAATAGTATGTATTAGCAGGAAAGTTAAAATTACAATACAAGAAAGTAGAAGGTACTCTGCATTGAAATGAAACACCTATATATAAGCAGATAGGGCAACAAAATTTATGACCTTTCTTCCTGCTTTTTCTGTGTAAAGAGCTGGAGGCTTCCTCTTTTGTGAAGTGGAATAGTCTGCATCTGTTCACTGTTTTGGTAATGATCGTTCCAATCCATGCCACAGAAATTCTGCTTCTTGAAATTACTTGCAAGCAGTTAATCTGCAGTGGCAACTCAAGGTTGAATCACATCTGTATTTACCCCCAGCTTTTTGGATATGCTCTTGCTATATTGTGGGGAATAACCTCATTTTTTTTAAAAAAAATTCTCTTTTCAAGTCAAGCTTGACTCCTGCTGACTTCATGGCTCCACCCATGTAGTTTTCTTGATAACATTATGATAGCAATTTGCCAAGAATTAACCAGGCCTGATCCTGCTTACCTTTCAAGCTCAGGTAAGGTCAAACAGATGCTGCCACTTGTAGGCCCCAAAAACACCAATGTGACTTCTGTTCAGTCTTAATTGTTTTTTATGTTCACACTGTCCTTTCATAAAACAATTACATCTTAAATAGTCATACTTTCAGCAGCTAAGGGGACATATCTTTTTAAACTATAGTATTTGGGACAACAATAACATTACTGTAAACCTTAAATAGAGCAAGGAATTAAAGGGTGTTTGGGTGGAGATTTATTGCTACTTTAGATATGGTAAGCTTTTCTAAGAGTGTTTTCAACCTGTTTGTTTTCAACCAAAATTAGTAAGAATTTGTGATCTATTTTTCTGTGATATGCATCAAATTTCAGTTGTATGATTCCAGAGGGTTTGGAGCCCCAGATGGTTTTATTTCTTTTGTTTTGTCAAAGATCAAATTAAAAATAAAAATGCATAAATAAAGTAGAATAAATGAAACACAGAATTGAATAAGATTTACACATATATCCAAAGACTACAATAATAAAATATTAATAAGTAATGAAGCAGTAGCTGCCATTAGAAAATTTTAGTCCCCTAAATTTTAGTCCCCTAAATGACAGCCAGTCCAGGCTTTGGTGGGGCTAAGCGAACTGACTTCTGATGACAACTGCCATGGAGCAGAATCTAGTGACTTTCTTAGATGTTTCTGTGGAAATATCTGCTAGTAAAAACTGTACAATCTTGGACTATGTTTAACCTCTGCAAAAGCAAGGACTGGATGCAGTACAGTAATATAGATTACCAGTCCTGATATAGTGGGAAGTGCAAGAAAATGTGACATGTTATTTCAATGGCTGCTTCTGAACACAGACAATAAGATTGCCACCTTATCTAGCGGCAATCTAGATAAGGAATGTTACTGCGCCAGATTTAAGATCCGGATATTAAAGCTAGCTAATGTAAATGCCTTTTTGTTTGAGGGATAAATATCTTAAAAGGTAGTTTGAAAAATGAAGAGAATGTGATAAAAGCTGCCTGAAGCATAATTTGAAACTTTAGTTCTGTCACCTTCTACACTGAGGTCAAGAATGCATTGTTTGTGTTAGAGATAGCTTTCTCCAGAGCTATCATTGATAGTGCTTGAATACAGAGGCCACAGAAGGAATGAGAAATTAAATTATCTATAAGAATGAGTTGAGCCAAAGAATTACTTCCACTTTAGTTTCAGCCAGTATCTTAGGTAACATATTGTTCTCCAGGAAGCTCTGGAAAGAAATCCTAATTCAAGTCTTAGTAGGGCATTGGGGATAAGCCAAGGGGCATGGAGAATGATTCAATTCACTTTGGACTGCACTGTTTCTAAAGGCTTTGTGTTTTAATAAGGGCAGAATTGCATGCTGTAGAGCAGAAATGGAATCTCCTTGCTTCTGAATTACGTGACCTTGTCTCTACTTGTACGTTAGAATCCTTTGGAAAGAAAAGCTGTGATCTGAAGGGTTTACATCTTTCCCCTTCCTGCATCTCTCAGCTTAAGAGGTGCTTGTGGCTAAGGAGGCCCTAATATCCTCAGATGTTTTATGGGCCTATATGCCCCAGAGCTATTGGTCGCCCATTCGTTTTTTAAAAGCATATTCCCCGTGAGGAGACTAATGCTAACTCACCATGACAATTTGCAAGTCAGCAAACATTTTGCACGTGTGAACCATCAGCTGAAGATAAATCATCTCATCTGATTTTTTAAAAAAATCCCAATACATTTATGAATCAGTGCTCTCCTTTCCTTTGTAACTGATCTAAACACTACATTTTTTCTAATATGGACTGAGTTTTAACATCTCCAAGAGCACCACAGTACCAGGTGGCAGCAATTCCTGGCCAGTGACCCATAAATTCTTGGGAAATTGCCTGAGAAGCATGATGTGCAATGCATCACTTTTGCTAACATCAGGGGAAGCCTGCTTGTCTGCTAGCTGGCGCAATACAAATAGAAGAACAACAAACCCATTTACCCTTTGCCCCTGCCCAGGTACCGTGTGACCCACCAGCCCTATAAGTACTGAGCTTGCCTTGGCATCTGGACAGCTCTTCATTGCAGAATGGCTTCCCAGGGAACTGTAAAAACAAATGTGGCAAGAGATTAATTAATTGAAACTAAAGACAGCTGTTGTTAATTAATTCCCCGAAGCCTGGTTAACTCTTCCCTTGCTTATGTCTGCAGGATTCCAAGCCAGCAATTCTGCCAGCCAGCTGGCCAACCTACAGTTCAGGCTGGGTAGCGAAATTATTTCAGGAGCAAAATTAAGTAGTTGGAAGAAACAGAGGATGGGAATCTTATACTTCTAAGGGGTGTAAGGGGAATTTCAACAGATGCTTTTCACATGAAACACCCTCATGTAGTGGTAAAAGATCAGGTGGATGTGAAAAGTAAGAGATGCTGGATCTGCCCTTTATTCACATAACTCCCAAAGGGTAAGGAACATTTTCTGTTCTTGAAAGAATTTGATGACTAAATTACTGTTTACCCTTTAACGTGGCTTTATTATTCAAATTATGCAGTTTGTGTGTATGTGTGTATATGTGTGTTAGCATTCCTGCTCCTCCTATGCTAGAAGACTGGTTCACTGTTTAGAAATATTTCTGTATCTTGCATAATGTGAAATTATTAAAAAAATATGTTGGAACACATTTTCAAGACCCAGTACTTATGGATAACTGTATCTGGAAGCAATTTAAAATGTCCTTTTAAAGCAGTTTCGTATACTGATAATACAAGATGATAACAAGTTTGTGTAAATCCCGCTCACAAACTTGCAGACTTTCACTATAAGGGAGGTAAACTGTTGAAGTTTGTACATTCAGGATTCCAACAAGATGCATCCCATATAT